CAGTCAGTCCGCTGGGGGTATACCCCAGCTGCAGTCTGTTTTTCGGGACACTTCACTCTCGCAGATCTTGGAGTACTTGCGTGTGGAGTCTGCGTCGGAGCTGCGCTGTCCCCTCCAGCTCCATCTCTACCTCCTCCTTCGTCTCCATCCTAACGGACCGCCCTCCCGGCGGGTCCGGCACACTTTTCCCCTCTCAGTGTTTTTTTTTTTCTTTTTCCAAACAACCTTAAACCACCAGTAGTTCCTAGAGTCGTGCCCGTTAACGCGTCATGATTTTAGGAAACGTACGGGCTACTACAGGAGCGCCCAAATTCATCCGACTAGAAACACTTCTACTATTTTTTTTCCGGGGCTGATAGTTGGGCCAAGTACTGGTGGTTTAAAGGCTTAGAAATATTTTGAAAGGATCAAAGAAGGTCGGGGTAAACACAAACACTGGGAGCATCACCCGTCTCGCTTGAAACTCGGTAACAGTACCTCCGGGGTCCTATCAGAAAGTTGTCAGAAAGTAGTAGGAATCTGGATTCAGTGAGGAATCTATCCCACAGTAAGCCTGAAAAAAGTATCTGCCGTCTATCTGAGAAGTCTACCCACTGGTACTCGGTGGACCATCTTGCCAACAATTCGCTAGATCAAAAGAACACAGAGTTTCTTCAAAAGAGTCAATTCTGCAAAGATGCCTAATCTAATAGCATTCGGAGGAGGGTTCCCCTAAGAATCTTCCAGCCCTCCTTGCCATCCACAGGATCCAAAAAGATCGCAATCTACATTTCTCTGCTCAGGACAAGATCCTCAGAGTCTAGATGAGGACAACTCCATTGCAGCATGTCTTGACCAAGGTGGGCACACATTTTGAACAAAGGGAGCATGCTGTTCTGAGGCAGACCAATGGTCTGCTAGAACTGTGTCAAAGCCATCACAAGTCACCAAGGGGTCATGAGGTGCCAACCGGTCATGGAAACCACTCCATACAATAAATGGAGAGCAGACATCACACATAGCCAAGTGCCAAAGGCACCCCTCATATGTCTAGAAGCCCAACCTCTACAACAACCTGGGCTTTTGTAAGATTAAAAAAAAAAAAAAAAAAAAAAAAAGCAGACATCACAAACACAGGTTGAGTGATTATGGATGCCAATGGGAGAAACACAAGTGTACCTTTATCAGAATACACCTCAAGGACAGGCTAGAGATTGCACTCCCAGATCACTCTCTGGAAACCCGCTTGGTACAGCAATGGAACAGCAGGGTGGCGCACCTTAAACCACCTGTACCTTTCCCATATGTTGGCCGCGGGCAGTGTCAGAGGCCAGAAACAAAAAACGGGCCATCGATTTCGCCGCTTGGCTACCGCGTTACCCGGCTTGTCTTAGATTTCAAGCCGGGAAAGGTACCGGTGGTTTAAGATACCTGTATCCTTTGCATGGCTACCGCTCTTCATTCGGATGATATTCGGGGCACAAGCATACCCGGGCCATATGATTTGGGATATAGATTTGGTCTTCACAGGCGGACTGCAGATACCTGAAGTAAACAGGAGCTACAAGTGTAGAGCTCAGTGCTTGGTTTAAAAAAAAAAAACAAAAAAAAAACAGGTCTATGGCCTTGAGGTATTATCATCGGACTAACCAGCCCAGGTAAATTCAATCTTGTGTCTAATCTGACACCGGGTGGCCTTGTTGCCTTCAGGGAACCCCCAATGGGGGACACCGGCCAAGGGACAGCCGGTAGCGGAGTGACCGAGCATCATCTGAGTACCCGGTCGTTGTGCCTCCCCGATTACCGCTCCCCATATGAACATCGGCAGAGACTGTTTTTTAATGTCAATTGGGGGGACCAACGGGCTATCTCTAGCTCAGGCACGCCAAGTGGCATTGAGGAGGTCTTGGGTTCAATCCCCATTGGCCTCATGTACCTTCCTGGGCAAGCCTGGCGCCTGCCACCTAGAGCTCAATGTTTGGGGGCTCATTCGACACTCCTCGGGCCGTCCTAGGGGCCTGAGGAAATTCTCCCGTCGTCGCCTGAGGAAATTCGTGCCGTCGTTCCACTCATCCTCGGAATTTTTCCCCGAGGACGATTCCTCAAGGCCTTCCCCGACCAGTTTCATATATCGACAAGCAAACGCGGGGGGGGGGGGGGGGGGGGGGTCCATCAAGGTGTGTCCGTGCCGACATCGTTGGTCCAGCTCGGGCGGCCATCGCAAAATTGGAAGTTCGCGGTGGAAAAAAACAATGGCACGAAAAAGGCGTGCAGTCCCGGGTTCGGAATTCGAAATTCGAATTTCCACAAGTGACCGTCCAGTACTGTGGGTGTCCCTTGCGGCTGACGGCAGCAACGTTCCCCGGCAGAAGCGTTTCGGTACGGGGTGGTGGCTGCGTGTTGGTGGGCACGCCGAACATACATGTACGCGTCCGAAGCAGCAGACACGTCGTCACACGATCGTCGTCGTTGTCATCTTCGCAGGCGAGCTTGATCGTCGACGTGTACGCTGTGCACTCAGGTCGTCACTTGCAGCAGTGCTGTTGTGCGGCCCGCCACACGTGGAGTCTTCTGCACTTGGCGACGCCCACGTCGACAACACCAGTTTCGGTGATGACCATGAACGAGGGGTCGGGACGTGACACACTAAGCAAGGTGGAGAGGACGGCGGTGGCAGCAGCCGTGAACGTCATCCTCTTCCAGTGTCAATTGCAGAGGGGCGAGGGGAGGATGAGAGCAGCCATTCGCGCACGGCGGACGCTGCAGTCCACGAATGAGGAGGGGGAGGGCAGTGGTGCCATTTGCGACGCCGTGCTGCAGGTGTGCTACGCCATGGATTGTGGAGCATTCCCTGGAGCGACGCCTAGGTGGTGGATGAAGCGACGGACAGGCGGGACGTGGGAGGATCTTCGGCAATGCGACGACGCGACGGCGGACGACTTCAAGGACAAGCTGCGCATGTCGCCACGTGTGTTCCGAGAGATCACGGCAGCTTTGTCTCCCTTCCTTGAACGGCGTGTCACTTTCTATAGGGAGCCCCTCCAGCCGGACCACATTGTCGCGTACGCTTTGTACAGGTGGGCGTCGAGGGAGACGTACTAGAGCGGGACATGCAGCTTCGGCATTGGCAGAGCTTGAGGGTTGGTGGCTGTGCGGGATGTAACTGCGGCGTTGCTGAGTGCGTACCCCGACAAGATATCCTGACCGACGGGTTCTGCAGAAGGCGGTCGTCTTGCCCGCTTTCGCTGACAAGGTTTTCCCTAACTGCCATGGGTGCATCGAATGCACCCACGTCTTCATCGACAAGCCAACGAATTGCCCCGGTGAGGACTACTACCGTACTACAATAGAAAACACCGTTTTTCCGTCCAGGCGCAACTCGTCGTCGATTTGAACTTGCGCATGCTGGATGTGTTCGTCGGTTATTCGGGAAGTTGCCACGACGTGAGGATCGTCCACCTATCCAGTTTATGGGCGCGCGCGGAGGCAGGGTAGCTTTTCATCGGGCCACCTGTCGTGCTGCCTTTCGGTGTGCGGACGAACGGCTATCTGCTGGGGGACAACGACTATCCGCCCTCCGAATGGGTAGTCGTCCCCTACGGCAGTGTGTCACAAACCCCGTCGGAGTTGCGCTTCGACAACAAGCAGAAGACGGCGAGGGGAGCAGTTGAGAGGGCTTTCGACAGACTGAAGGGGATGTGGAGGTTGTTCTTCGCTCCCACAAGACGAACATGGAGACGTTGCCGCAGCAGTTCGTCGCCGTCTGCATTTTGCACAACATACTCATCGACGCGGGTATCCCCTTCGACGACAGTCTATTGTGGGAGGTCGGCCCGGACGGTGTGCATCGCAGGGTGGATCTTGAGATGGAGCGTCCCTTGAGGCCGATGTGTATGGAGTCGTCGACAGGGGATGCGCTCATTCAACGAGACGCACTGGCAGAGCGAATGGGTGCGCAGTGAACACGGCCAGGCGTGCGGAGCGGTCGGCTATGATGACGTGGCTGTGGCGATAAATCGTAGCGGGCGACGCAGGTAGCAGGCGAGAAATCGAAGCAGACGACGTGGAAGGCGTCTTATCCTGGAAGGGGTGGTCGTCTGAGTTGGGGTCATTGTGTGTGCGGGGCCGTTTGACGGAATTGGCGAGTTGAAGCAGCGGTGTTTGTGGGTTGCTGTGCACATGGCGGCGTGTGTCGGCAGTTTCTTACCGTTTTGTTTCGCACTGCGTGCCTTTGAGGAGGGTGTCCGCGCCTGGAGTTGATGGCGATGGCGCAGTCCAACGCGTAGTCGGCGGGGGCGACGTGGCCCGTGTGCATGTGCCGATCGTAGTTGTCGTGTGGTGTGGTGTCACCGCGGGTGATGTAGTCGAGTCGTCATCGTGTGTTCTGTTTTCCATAACTTTGGATTGAATTTGCCTTCAAGGCCTTTATTTTTTGCAAAGTGTATCTTCATCCACTGTTTTCTTTATACGAGACACAACAATCTAGTTTCTCACTCATCGTGTAAATTATTAATGTTGCGTGGCTTGTCTTCTTCTTTGTGGACGAATGAAAAGTACACAATTGCACGACGTTGTTGTGTATTATTTGTACTGCCATCTCTGCTTCCAACATGTGCAATGCCGTGTGTGAACATCCCTCACTTTGTCATCAACCATCGGTTCAAGCAAGCATCCCCGACCCCGTTACGTCCCCCTTACCATAACTTTCGTGAATGCAAATGAAAGCGGAACAAAACGGAAGCGACAACACGACGTAGACGTCAACAATATAAATCAACACAATTACATGTTCGGTTTTACAGATGCGAACATCGATTTGGCATGTTTGAAAAAAAGAATGAACATTTAAAGAAAACAAAAGGTTCATGCAAAACCCCTACGACAAGTTGACAACCGATCCGAGACGGTGATGATCACCGTCACCGAAACGTCCACCACCATGACCACCGGCATCGTCCCCCCCCCCCCCGCCTCGTCTCC